TCTCCAGGCCTCCTCACGGGGGAAAAGTTTTGCTCTGGTCCTCGTTTATCCCCGCCTATATCCTCCTATAGTTTGTCTCAGCAGGTTTGTCCCTTTGCTGCTGTTTAACTGGTCCGTCGTGAGGCGAGGAACTTCCTTTCACTCCTTCTAGAGTATCTGGCTTGTCAGATCCTCAGAGGTGGCTTCCGAGCCTGCCTGGTTTTCCTGTTTCGTATCCCTTAAATGAGATCCTGACTCCCTTCCAGTCCCTTCTGGGCCCGCTGACTGGATTTCTTGGGGGTTACGAGTCAGCTCAGGACCCAGGGAAGCAAAGCAGCCCTGAGGTTTTGGGGAAAAAAGACAAGATGCGGGGTGGATTTTGGGGAAGCTGCTTGGGATACCCCTGGGATTCAAAGCAGGCAGGCGGGCAGCTGGTTAATCTGCACCCTTCTGCTGTTTTGGCAGTGGGGGAGCTTCAAGAATTGCACCCCCTCTTCCTTGGCTCTGGAGCCAAAAGGAGAACCAACAGGTGTGTAGGGGGGGGGCAGCAAGCAAGCTTGGCCTGAGGACACCTGGCTGGGTTTTTGGTCCTCCTCTTTCTCCCTAGGAAAAAGGCTTATTGGCATCGAGGATGTGTTTGCGAGACCCTTCCTTTTTAACCCAGTGTCGAGTTTCTGGGTTACATTTTCTAAAAGAGAAAAAAAAAACTGTCTACCTGTAAACCTGCAAGGTGTGTGTGTGTGTGTGTGTGTGTGTGCAGGGGTGGTTTTGTGATCCTTTCTCCCCACCCTCCGCACCCCCGGTTTGTGAGAAAGCTTGTGTTTGTGCCCGCAGCGGCTTTGGATTGCGGGGTTGCGCACCAGGGTTCAAGCACCAGTGGGTTTTGTGTGTGTGTGTGTGTGTGTGAGGGGGAGTGCTCGCTCCCAAGTAATGCCCTGCAGCGACTGGGGGGGGGGGGCGGCAGGCAAAGCGCTCCTCCCTTCCCATTCGACGGTTTCCCTGCCATTCCGCTCCCGCTCAGCCTTGCAAAGAGCCGCCCCCACCCAGATGCACGTTTACATGCCTGTGCCCGCCTTGGCTTATTATGTGAGCCAGATTGATCCCAGCCCCCCACATTCACCCACCCGAGTTTTCCCTCCCCCTTCCCCCCCTCCCGTGATGCTCACACCGCTCATCTCCTCACCCCCTCCCTTCTCACCTCCTCACCCCCTCCCGTGATGCTCACACCGCTCATCCTGGGGCGGGGCAGAGGAGGAGGAGGAGGAAGGAAGGGGGCTTTGGGGAGAGGGGGTGGCTTTCTGGAAGGGGTCCCCCCACCCCTTCTCACCCCCTCCACCCCGCTTCTGGGGCTCCGAGGCAAATTTCTCCAGCCTGCCGGGGGGGGGGGGGGGGGGCGAAGGGGGGGGGGGGGGGGGGTGTGGGGGGGGGGGGGGGGGGGAAGGGGGCGGGCAAGGGGCCCTGGCAGGGGGGGGGGGGGGGGGACCCCCGTCCCGCGCGCCTTACCTGGCTGGAGATGAGGTCCTCGCAGACGGAGAGAGCCATCTGGATGGCGTTGGGCTTGTGGGTGACGGAGGTGGCGTTCAGCTGGATCTTCCAGGTCCCGTGCCGCTTGTTGGCCTGGCTGATGGCGTCGCGGAAGACCTGCTCGTGCTTCTTGGTGCTCAGCACGGCGCCGATGTTGATGATCTTGGGCTCGCAGCCCGCGCGGGCCACCGAGAACCAAACCAGCACGGCCAGCAGCAGCAGCCGCATGGCGACCGGCGGGGGACCCCCCTCCCTCTCCCGGCCCAGCCGCTCTCCGCGGTGCTGAATTCCCGCCTCGCTCGCTCGGTCGGTCGCTCGGTCCGGCGGGGCGCGCGCGGGAGAGGACGCCCGGCGGGCTCCGCCAACCTGCCACTGCGGCAGCCGCGGCGCGTCGACTGGGGCGGGGGCGAGCGAAGGAAGGAGGGAGGGAGGGGCCCCCGGAAAGCCAGCCCCCGCCCGGCCAAACCCTCCAGCTCCTGAGGGAGCCCCCACCCCAACCAACCACCCCCCCCTCTTTCCACGCCAGCGGTTTCTAGAAGACCCCCCCCGCCGCCTCCCCGCACCGCCCCGGAATCTGAATAGAAGAAAAGGGAAGTAGCGGGTGGGAGTGGGGGGGGGTCACCTTGGGGCTTCTGCCAGGAAAGAGCCACCTAAGGATGCCCCCCCCCGCCCTGTCCTCCCTTTCTGCAGCCCCCCTCCCCCCCCCGCCCAGAACGAGCCCCCCCCGCCACACATTACGGGGCGGAGATGACAGAACAGCCCAGCAATTTATGGAGACCCCAAAGCAGGTGACCTGTTTTTCAGGCGAGAAGAAGATTGCTTCCTCTGGTTGGGGGGTGCAGCCCAACTGAAGGAAGGAGGGATCTAGAGGGAGGAGAAAGGAAGGAGGGATGGATGGATGGACTGGCTGTGGAGGAAGAAGAGGGAGACGACCTAAATAAAGCCAAAGGACACGGCGAGCAGGACAGCAGCTCACCAGTCCTGGGGGGGTGGGGGGAGGAAGGGTGGTGGGGGTGTGAGAGAATTATTTCCCGACATAGCGGACAGAACAGCCCAGCAATTTATGGAGATGTGCACCTGTGCAGCTGGGGACCAAGTGGAAGACGTAGGTCTCCTTCCTTTCTTGTGAGAGGGGACAGTGAAACCCCCGGGGGCTCTATGCCCCCCACTGCAAAGGGGACAGGAGGCTTCCCTGCAGTGATCATACTGGGCAGGAGTGTCCTGGTGGGCAGTACAGGCCGGGCAGTGGTCCAGGTGTTGCTCTACCTGGCTAGGAATCGTCCTGTGACTGTCAAAACGAGCAGACACAGCCTCTCCCTCCTTAACAGATAACTGATCATCAGAGTTGGAAGGGACCTTGTAGGTCATCCAGCTCAACCTCCCTGCCCAAGGGGGAGACCCTACACCATTTCTGACAATTGGCAGTCCAATCTCTTCTTGAAAGTCTCAAGTGATGGCGCTCCCACGGCTTCTGTTCCACTGGTTGATTGTTCTCAACGTCAGAAAGTTTCTCCTTATTTCCAGGTTGAATCTCTCCTTGTTCAGCTTCCATCCATTATTCCTTGTCTGGCCTTCGGGTGCTTTGGAAAATAGCTTGACCCCTTCCTCCTCTCTGTGGCAACCCCTCAGATATTGGAAGGCTGCTGTCCTGTCTCCTCTGGTCCTTCTCTTCACTGGACTAGCCAGGCCCAGTTCCTGCAACTGATCTTCGTATGTTTTATCCTCCAGTCCCCTCATCATCCTAGTTGCTCTTCTCTGTACTTTTTCTAGAGTCTCAACATCTTTTTTTATAATGTGGTGACCCAAACTGGATGCAGTACTCTAGGTGTGGCCTTACTAAGGCTTTATAGAGTGGTATTAATACCTCACTTGATCTTGATTGTATCGCTCTCTTTATGCATCTTAAGATTGCATGAGCCTTTTTGGTTGCCGCTGCACACGACTGGCTCCTATTTAGCTGGTTGTCCACGAAGACTCCAAGATCCTTCTCACAGTTACTGCCACTGAGTCTGGTTTCGCCCAGTCTATATGTGGACGCTCCCTCGCTTCTGATGGCAACAAATACTGGTTCCTTATTTATTCTCGTCTGAAAGGCCTTCAACAAACGCAGGAGGGGGAGCCTTCCTCCTCTTAACAGCTTTTTTTTTGCCACCAGCAAATTAGAGGTTTTGCAAAGATGCAGAGAGGCGGGCAGGCATTCAGTATAGACAATGGCAAATACTGCCGAAGTGACAGGGTTGGATTGAATTCCTATATATATATATATATCTTCATTTTGACACCCACAGACCTCGCTGAAGATTAAGCCCACCCCACACCTTGTTCAGAACAAAAGAACTGCGTTTCCCACCCCCCACCCACCCCTTTCCAGCAGCCCCAGAATCCAGCCACGCAAACCGGTCCTGGTGACGTCTTTAAAAAGTGCACGTTGCTATAGAAACACTTCACTATGTTGGTGTCCCACATCTCCCAAATGTGCTTTGAGAACAGGAATGAAAATAGCAACGGTGTGTGTGTGTGGTGGTGGTGGTGGTGAGAAACACAAGCCTCAGAAAGTGAGGCTATGAGAAATTAGGGTTGGGGGCGGGTGGGCTTTGCAATTATCTCAACAAAGGAGAAAGCCATGGTGTGCTCTGGCAAGCATTGCTGTCCGTGCAAGACCCTAGTAAAGTTTGTGGAAACCTCACCACCCTGCGGTCCATTTGGCCTTTCTGAGTTCTCAGCAGCAGGGCCCGATCTGGCGGTGGGTCCCCGTGAAGCCCTGCCTTATCATTTGGGGTCCCAACCCCGTCAGATTTAGAAAGGCAGTTGCCGTAGGGTTAACATTGCAGCTGCCCCTCCGCCCAGGTGCTGAAGTGCCTCCCTACAAAGCGGGCAGAGCTGGCTCACAGGCTCCCTTAGAGTGTGGAGACCCCCTCTGTGCCCCTAGGAGGGTCTCTTGCCTCCCAAGCAGGACATCCTTGGGGGCTTCCCGAGCAGGCAATTCCCCCTCCATCTCCCCACTGCCCCAGTCGGGGAAGCGGGAGAAATAGGGAATAGCCGTTTGCCGATTAATCGTGAATTACTTGGGACCGTCCCGGCTGGAGAGAGGGGCCCGCGAGGGGACAGAAGGCAGGGTCTCCTTTTCTAACCCCGCCAGCCCCTTCCCCTTGGCCAGAGTCTCTTCCAGCTCCGCTTGTCGCCCATGGCCACCTCGGGTGCTCCTGGCCTCGTCGGGCTGGGCTGGACCGGGGCGACGGGGCTCTGCCGGAGCTGCCAGTGGCCGAGAGTTCCGCCGGCGGGCGTTTGAGTCGCCCACTCCTTTCCGGGATGCAGGTGCGCGAGGAGGCCAGGCCGGGGAGGAGGCGCCCGAGCGGGTCATTCCCTTGCGGCTGGGCTGGGCCGGCCCCGGCTCCGGCAGAAGCGGCTGAGACGCCCCCCACCCACCCACCCCGATCCCCGGGTCCCGGCTGGAGCTATAAGAGGCGCGGAGACGCGCAGCAGCCGGGCTTTTCAGGATGAGGCTGGTCGCGCTCCTAGGGGCCGTTGGAGCTGCTGCCGCTGCCTCCTTCTTCCTCCTGCCCCCGCCGACCCTCTGGCTTCTGCTCCTGCCGCCTCTCTTGCTGCCGGTGGTCGCGGCCGGAGGCTGCGTGGCCTGGCTGGCGCTGCGGCCCAAGCGGCTGATTCGCCCGCTGGACCAGGTGGGCTACCTGCCTGAGCCCGGCTGGACCCGCGCGCAGAGCGCCGCGCGGATGCGCCGGAACCGGCGGACCGGCCAGGTCCTGCCTTCCTACCCCAACGGTTGGTTCCGGCTCTTGGGCTCAGACGAGCTGGCCCGAGGGGAGGTGCGCAACGTGGCTGCACTGGGTGAGTGGCTCTGCGTTCCCACGACGCTCCAGGGAGAGCGGAAGAACGGAGGGAGGGAGGCGGGCAGCCGAGGTCCGGAATGCGGTGGAACAAGCGGCCCTCGAGTATGTCAAATGGCCGCGGAAACCCTTTCCAGCTCTCAGCCGAAACGCGGGGCCTGTGGCGGGGATATCAGGGCAGGTGCAGAGATTTTTTTTTATAACAGATAATCAGAGTTGGAAGGGACCTTGTAGGTCATCTAGTCCAACCCCCCCTCCCCCGCCCAAGCGGGAGATCAGCTGCCGATGGTCCGGCTCGTGTAGTTCCCAGGATTGGGGAGTTGTACCCCTTAATGGGAAGACTGATCCGTCTCCCCTCCACCCCGGCTCGGCTCTGTCTCCCTCCCTGCCTTGGTTCAGCTTGGCTTTTTAAACAAGAGGGGCACTCCAGAAACGCGGGGAGTCCCGTTTGGTGTGGGAATGTAGGTGCTGGCCTAGAGGCTAGGAGCTGGCAAGGATTCGGAAGGGAACGGACTGGCCCCCTGGGGTCTCTCAGCCCAACTTGTCTCACAGAGTTGGGGCTTTTTTTGTGTGTGGGTGTGTGGGGGGAAGGATAGAAAGCAAGGAGATCCAGTGTGTTTACCATCTAATAAATACTCTTGGGAATGAGCCCATAGGTGTATAAAAAGGGTCAAATCCAGCCTAGACTCGTTGTGCCACAAACCAAAATAACACCCTCTTTCTCCAACAATACGGCCTCCCCCAATAGGAAGTCCCAGCATGTTTTATAGGCATGAAATGAAATTAAGCCCCTCCCCCCCAAATTAAGGCCTATATTAAAACATGCGAAATGGGGGGGGGAATGGTGGGGGGGCTTTCTGTTAGCAAGTACTTTTGTTGCACACCCGGATATGGTGCTGCCTGCGTTGACCCTGATACGAAGTGCCCCCCAACACCGAGGTCAACATCCAAGCCATCCGCTCGAAGATGCAAGGGGGGGGGGGAATTAAGTCACACACACCCCGAAAAGACAGCCTAGGCGTTTTTTCGGGGCTCAAAAAAAGAAAAAGAAAGACCTGGCCTTATTATATGAGAAACGCGGTAATAAATTGGGCGCAGCGAGAAATTGAGGGCATCCACTCAGTAGGGGTGGAATATGCGTGGTTTGGGGTTTGCTCAATACATGGGATTATGTCAGAAGAGCTTCGGCTTATACAAGGTGGGATACTTTCCCAAGGCCAAGTTAATAATAATAAACACAGTTTGCATAATTCATTCTTGTTAAATTAATAAGAAAAGCCATTTAGTTATTTGTTTGTTTGTTCGTTTATATTATTTGATTGTTTGCAAATATTTCAAGGCAGCAAACTTGCCTAATATTCCTTTCTCCCACAACAACCACCCCTTGAGATGGGCTGGCTGAGAGAGAGTGATGAGCTCATGGTTACCCTCATAGCGTCAGGGAACCTCCCTTCCGATCAGTAACTCCGAGACAAGCATAATCTCAAAAGTACTTTTTTATTAGAATAGCACCTGGCCCATCTGTGGAATTTTAAAACCCAAAATTTCCCGGACTTTCCACAATGTCCCAGCCTACAAACCATCCCCTTTTTACTCATCATCACATCACACGAACCAATCTCAAAGTAAGTTCCCTTTCTTCCTCCGCCAACCTCTTTGACCTTGAACTAACCAAATCAGTTATTTTGTCTACTAAGAGCTACTCAATTTTAAATCGCTTTCTCCAGCTATGTGGCAGCGATGAAGAAGGATTCCAAAGCTGACACACGGCTTCCAATGGATAAGGCGGGACTAGAACTCACTGTCTCCAGTTTTTAGCACTTGACCAAACTAGCCCTCCCTCCTCATGGCACAATGCCAGCACATTCTGAAGGGTATTAGAAACGATTTCGTTCCTGCACCACCATGAATATCTCTGAAATAGCTCCAATTTGCCTGCAGGTTTTCTCTCTTACCACAGTAAACCCATCCAGAAATCTGTCGTGTTTTCTGATCCATGGCTTTATTGTGCTATCAAATGTATTGCACAAACTGATTCGTCTAGGCAGAAACCAACGTTGTTCTTCTGCTAGTATTACTGAAGATGCTTTGGGACTCAGACTAGGCCAGTTGGTAAGAGATTCTTGCGATTGGGGAAATGAACTGGCCATGTCTGCCAACAATCCTTAGAACGTGTGATCCTTCACTGGTTGGTTAAAAAGGAGGAGAGGAGAAGCGGTGGAGGCAGACAGGTTCTTAGCATGATTTTTTTTTTAAGTTTTATTGATTTTAACAACAAACAAGAACACATAAAACATAAAAACCTCATCCTCCTTCACGAATTTACAGACAAGTGTATCGGTTGGTTTACCACTCTTTTTGTGTGCATCCATTTCGTAGTCTCCATTGTAGTTATATTACATAATAGCTCATATTAACAGCGGCTAGGATTGTATTTGCTAAAAATTGGAAGAGTGAGAAAATACCCTCAGAGGAGAAATGATTAAGAAAACATCGGAATGTGCTGAAATGAGTAGATTGACATTTGAAATTAGAGAACAAGAGGATAAACTAAATTCTATGAAGTTAGGTTCTTAGCATGACCTTGTTACTCTTCTCTTTGTTCTTTTTCATATACAACTCAAGGTGGTGAATCCCCTTCTTTCCTCTCCTGGGTTGCCCACAAAAACAGTCCTGTGAGCTGAGTTGAGCCAAGAGAGAGGGGCTGGCCCAAAGTCACCCAGCCAGCTTGCCCGCCTCAGGCGGGCCTCACGGGGGTTTCTCAGCCGGCACCTTCACCAAGACACCAAACTGACGTAGTGACCTCTTGTGTCTCTTTCTCTAGTTTTTTCCCCTCACAGAGCAAAGCAAGAAAAGCTGGTTGTTGTGGCATTTTGGCTGCAATTAGGCCCTAGAGTAGTACCCGTTTCCTTAGGTAGGGCAGCTTGGACGAAATGTCCTGGAACGGTCATCCTTCTCCCCGCTTTGTCTCGAGTTGCCAGCCTCACAGGCTGCCTCGCTCGCTTGCGTTGGCCGAAGACTCTGAGGATTTTGCTCATGGTCAGGAGCACAGCAACTCCCCAAGCAGATGTGGAGCCACTGAAAGGATTTCCCAGCCCTCAGAGGCTTCTGGGACTCAATTCACACATCTGGGGGGGGAGCAGCAGGTGGAGGAGAATTGCTCTGTGTGATACACCTGGCAGGGGCTACGTCCTACCTGGGCAGGGACCATCACCAACCTTTTCTGCAGTAATTAGGACTGCCAGATCTTCTTTGGAGAAGCGGGGCATGCTGTCTTTTTACGTCTCCTTGAAGGAGTTGGGAAGTCCGTCCTAAATAAGTGTGAAAAGTCCATTTCTGGTCTTGTAAGACTCAATTTCACACACTGCAGTTGAAACTGGGCCTGGGACAGGTGAAGAGAAAGTTCCTCTCTTCTTCCATTCCCCCTTGTGTTCTGACCCAAGCCTTGTTCAAATCAAAGAAGCACAAAGCATATATCAAAGCAAACCTTTTAAATGCGTCTCTGTGAATTCTGCTCATTCACAACAAAGAATGATTGAAAGTAATTGTCCCAGATAAGAGGAAGACCTTTCAAGGTTACGAAAGGCTGCCAAGAACACAAGATTAATTGCAGGGAAATATCCAAAAGTCTCCAAAACCAAACCAGAATAGACAGGACTTCCGCAAAAACTTGGAGTTGAAAGAACTTCTTTGCTTCCTGCAAAGAAGCCAACCCCAGAGGCTGGCTTTTATCCCTTATGGGAGGGGCCATCACCTTGCAGCCTTATTCCCAAGTCGCCCATGCTGCTTGCAACTGCTCTTTCCTACGAGCAGCCATGCGTGCATGCGCACTGGGCACAGGCTCCTCGGGAACCTCTTCATCACTACTGCCAGCCTCCACAATTTCCAAAGGCAGCACCCCACTCTCCGATAGTCCTGGCCTCATTCCTGCATCACATGCAGGCCCCTCATCTGAATTCTCGCTCTCCAAGACCTCAGCCATCCGCACCTGCTGCCAGCGAACCACAACACCTTGAGGATCTGGAGAGCTGCTGCTGGCTGTCCGAAGTGGCCTTTTGTGTGCCAGCAGCACAATGACTTTCCAATCTGCCTGTGAGCTTCTCAGAGGAAACAGACTCACACCCATGGACTCACACCCAGGCACCTCCTGTGAATTTTGTAAAGGATGCGCAGGCCTGTCTCCGTGGTTAGTAAAAGGGGTTTGATCCTGACTCACCTTGTGAAATAGATGCCGCGTTCTTCCCAGCAAAGGAAGAAAAACTTACTTTTATCCTTTTCTCCATACGCCCAGGGGAACAGTTTGCTGTGTTCCGAGATTTGGACGGGAAAGTGTATGTTCTGGATGCTTACTGCCCGCACCTCGGGGCCAACCTTGCAATCGGTGGCCGTGTGGTGGGCGACTGCATTGAGTGTCCCTTCCACGGCTGGATGTTCTCTGGGAAGGACGGGAGCTGCGTCAAGATCCCATATGCCAAAAAAGGTGACAGGGTCTCATTTTCTGTTGGGGCTAAGGGAGAAAGCACCAGGGGGTTTAGGCCCGACTGAACGTGACTGGCTTAGAATAGAATAGAATAGAATAGAATAGAATAGAATAGAATTCTTTTTTTTTTGAAAAAGTTTTATTGATTTTAACAACAAACAAAAACACATAAAACATAAAAATATCATCCTCCTTCATAGATTTACAAACAGTGTATCGGTTGGTTTACCACTTTTTTTGTGCATCCATTTCCTAGTCACCATTATAGTTATATTACATAATAACTCATATTATCAATCAACAATTATATAACCTAACATCATTACTGAACAATCATTTGACTATAATTTTGTTAATTCATACTTTAACGAGATAACTATAATTAGAATAGAATATAGAATTCTTTATTGGCCAAGTGTGGTTGGACACACAAGGAATTTGTCTTGGTGCAAATGCTCTCAGTGTACATAAAAGAAAACATACATTCGTCATGAGTCAAGAATCATTAGGTACGACACTTAATGGCAGTCATGGGGTACAATCAACAATCAAATCATACTAGGAAACAGTCAATATAAATCGTAAAGATACAAGTGACAAAGTTACAGTCATATAGTCACAAGTGGGAGGGGATGGGTGATAAGGAGTGATGAGAAGATTAATGGTAATAGTAGTGCAGACTTTGTAAATAGTTGGACAATGTTGAGGGAATTATTTGTTTAGCAGAGTGATGGCGTTGGGGAAAAAAACTGTCCTTGTGTCTAGTTGTTCTTAGTGGCTGTGGTGTTGCAACCAAGGGTGTCCCTGAGCATCACGGAGGGCCTTTGTCTGCTATGGGGGTGGGGAGACATCTCATTTTGACTCTCCGGGGGATGAGTTGGCGCAGGCATCAGGTGAGCCGTGCCTAGCAACAGGGGAACCAGAATGGATTTTGTTCCTCTTAATTCCTTCCTAGAAATGTAGCTAGTGACAGACCTCCAAAATCTTGGACACAATTTTATTTGGCTGATTATTTTTAAATCATTAATAAATTGCTGAACCGTTTCGGTCCTGTTTTCAGTGCAGCCACGGGGACAAATAAATGAACTCTTGGCTTGGCTTTTGCTTGTATGCCTCGACGATGGGAAATCCTACACTCTTGGGATGGCGTGTCGGTCCATAAAGAGGCGTTTTTTTTACTTTCTCCTGCTTCCTATCTTCCAGTGCCTGAATTTGCAAGCACCAAAGTCTGGCCATCCTGTGAAGTCAACGACATGATCATGGTGTGGTATCACTGTGATGGCACGAGCCCAGCATGGCAAGTGGCCGAGCAGGAAGAGGTGTTGTCGCCCGACTGGGCCTTCCGGGCTGCAACGGAGCACTTTGTCAGCGCGCACATCGAGGTAGCTGTGGACCGCTGAGGGGAGGCCAACGGTGGCACCTTTTCAAACCGAACCTGGGGGTGCGGGATGGAGCGGAATGGGAGAAGTGGCGGGGTGCAGAGCGGCGGTTCTGGGGTTTGAAAGTTAGATGGGCTCCCGCCAGGGGTGGGATTCAAATATTTTTACCACTGGTTCAGTGGGTGTGGCAGTCGAAGTGACTCTCTTGGGTCTTGGGGAAAGGTGTGCTTCTAAGTTGCCTCTGGCCAAGCTAGGTGACTGTTTCCTTTCCCTCCCGGGCAGGAAATTCCGGAGAATGCTGCCGATGTAGCTCACCTTTCCTTTCTTCATAATCCTTCGGTCTTGAGTGGAAATGATCTACGCTTCACGGACAACCACTGCTGGGCATTTTTCAGGCACACCTGGGAGGTAAGGCAGCCAGCAACTGGTTCCAAATCCTAGTGGGCCAGTTTCTTGTTGTGAAAGCCAAGGACGCTGCGCTGCCGCAACTTTAAACATGAACACAAGAAGGGAGGAGCGGCCAAAGCTGCCTACATTCCTATGTTTGGAAAGCCAACGTTAAACACGGGCCAAAAGCCTCGGCTACTAAGCCTCGGAGGACGACAGGCCTGGAGGAGACCCCCTTCCCTGTTGTCCTACCCGGTTGCTGCTTGCAATATATGTGGGGAGGCTCCAGAACGTGGGTAATGTTGGAAAGAAAGGAGCGGTATGGGCAGGGGTGGGATTCAACATTTTTAACAACCGATTCTGTGAGCGTGGCTTATGTGGCTTGGTGGTCACGTGACTGGGTGGACGTGGCTTGGTGGTCATGCAATTGGCTGGGTGTGGCCAACTCAATATCACATAGAGGGACACATCTCCTCGCCTGGCCTCTCGTGACTGTGGGGATGCTGCAACAGTCGTTAAGTGTGAAAAATGGTCATAAGTCACTTTTTTCCAGTGCCATTGTAACTTTGAATGGTCACTCCACGCAAGCAAAGTACCAGCAAAGGAGGGGAAAAAAAACTCCAGAGAAGTTCCTGAGACAGGAAGTCTGGTCCTGCCAAGAATGTAAAAAGGGTTAACGGAGAGGCAGTTTCTGTAAGCAACACCAGAATGTTTCCTTCCTGCCTTCCTTACAGGATTAGGCCAGTAATTTCTTCTAACAACCGGTTCTCCGAACTGCTTTTAATGTTAACAACCGGTTCTAGGGAATAGGTGCGAACTGGTAGAATCCCACCCCTGGGTGTGTGTGTGTGTGTGTGTGTGTGTGTGTGTGCATGTGTGTGCATGTGTGTATCCATTTGGGCTGGTGGGGGCTTTGGCGCCAAAGCAGCAGGCGCGTTTCCAGTCAATGCAATGCTTGTTTCCCAGGCAGAGTGGCAGCCCGAGCCGGAGCCCAATGGACACTGTTCAGTCATGCTTCTTACTCACCACGTGGCGTTCTTTGGAAAGCCCGTCCCCTTCCTAGATCTACATGTTACGGCCAGGCAGGTACGACGAAATCCTCTCCTTCCAGGGACAGGGCGGTGTTTGTCCCAAGCCAGGGACTGCATCGATTACTGTGATGTTGAATTGGTTGCCTCTCCCAAAGAGAGAGAGAGATAAAAGTAATAATCACTCTTTGATTTGTTGGAGTGTTTTTTGGTTTGCTTAATCCCTGTCTAGTTTGAATACAGTTTGGAGGGGAAAATGGACTCTTTTAACTGGGTGTTTTTTGTGTCTTCTCCGTTCAGATCGGTCCTGGGTTGGTAACCTTGGCCCTGAGACACGCTTTCCTGGGCAAGGGGCTGATCGTTCAGACTGTCATCCCTCTGGAGCCGCTTCTGCAGCACGTGGTCCACCAAATCTACTACCCACGCAACATACCGTCCTTCATAGCCAAGCTGATACTGTGGGCTGAGGGAGTCCAGGTGAGGGGAGCTGCAGGGATGGTCCTGGGGGCAAACTCGGTCCGTGAGACCTCCTGGCCCTTCAGGGCTGGTGAGGGACAGAGGAGCGCAGCATCCGTTGGGGAGGGGGTGTGTGTGATGACCCGGGGTGTGACGCAAAAATAAAAGTCACAAAAGTAGAATAAATTTTCTTTAATGCCTCCAGCTTGGGCCCCAATGTTCAATTATCCTCGGCTGGAGATCAAACTCTTCCAAAAACAGTCTACGAAGAGAGTAAATGCAGTCCGAACCCAAAGTAAAGATAATTAGAAATTAAAAAAAAAACCAACACAAACCACGCTGAAGTAATTAACACGGCAGGCCAGGATAATAAATTGCAAACTCTCACATGATAACGCAGCACCCACAGTTGGGAGGAAGCCAAAACCCAGATAAGCCTCGACCAAAATAATGCACACTTTGCTTCCAGCGTGGAGCCGTGCGCAAACTCCCCACTTATATCCTGTTTTCCCAGCTGCAACTCATGAAAGGGATCAGGGCCTTTTTCTCTCCCATAAGCCACGTTGCTCCCTTCTCCGTTCCTCCCTGCATGGCTCATGAAGAGGGGTTGGCCCTGGGTCTTCCTCTGAATGCCCAGCTGGACTGTGGCCTTCCCTCATTTCTTCCACAGCCACTGCAGCCACTCCCTGTCAGTCGCTAAATCTCCCCCTCAGAATCAGACTCCAACACAGCGGATCCCTTACATTTTCTGGATTTCCTTATATTGTCCCACGCATTTTAGGCCAAGGGGTTTTGTTCTGCTGCTGCTTCCTGATCATTTCTCTTCCTCTTTCCCTCCTGAACCAGTTTGAGCGGGACGTAATGATCTGGAATAACAAGAAGTTCCTCTCCAAGCCGCTGCTGGTGAAGGAAGATGCCGCCATCCTGAGGCACCGGCGCTGGTTCTCCCAGTTCTACAGCCAGAACAGCTGGAAACTCAATGCCCAGAAGGGACAACTGGATTGGTGATGACCCTCCCTAGTGGTTAGGGACTCCCAATACTTCCGCAACCACTTGAGAGTCCATAAACTCTTGTGTGTGGGAGGGAGAAGGTTTTTTTTAACTTCGCGGAGCCCAAAGGGGTTCCTGGACCAGAGGAGAGACGGATGTGAATTTGGCTCAGGTAATACTTTGGAATCAGAAGCGGCGGCCTGCAGAAGCATTTGGAATGGTGCTACCCTCCGCCCCCCGCCAAGACCCCAGCAGCTGACTTGCTTTTTATAGCCTAAAGTGCCTTTTCTTAGCTTAAGGGTATTTTTCTCCACATTTGGGAGTGAAGACTGGAAATGCAACCCCAGCAGGAAAGACCGACCCTGCAAAAGTGATTTGCTGACGGGAGAAAAAAACAATCCAGGAGTCAGCAAGGCTTCAAGATTTTCTAACTCACTTGTCCCTTTTTCGTCGCGCGAATGGAACAGGAGCAAACCGGAACCACTTGTTCTTTCATTGTCCGTTTTATTACTGAAGGAAACAGGGTAGAAATAAAATGCTCGGGAGTATCGATCCCTCCCGCTCAAGCGGAGCGTAAATCAGCCAAGAGCAAAAGCGGTTTTTGCAAAGGTGACTTTTAATTAAACCCCATTCAATGAAGTGCTGAAGAGAAACGCATTGTGTGGGGGGAGAAAGTCCGACTCTTTTAAAGCCGAAATTAAGAGCATCAGCACCACCACAGGGAAAGATAAGCGGTGCCCCTTTCAGGCAGCATTTCCAAGCAGCGGTGGAGATGTCACCCTTTCATTCTTTCCAACCGGGGAGAGAAACGGCCAGGAGGAGTTTCCCTGAGGTGCCGCCAGAACAGCCGAGCCATTTCCAGCCCGAAAGGAGACCGTTGTGTTTCCGAGACCGTTGGCTTTCTCTCCTCACTGCCTCCACCCCCCCGACGGTTCAGGTTTCCCTTTCTTCCTCTTCGTTTCGCTGCTGCTCCTCGCCCTCCTCCTCTTCCTCCTCCTCCTCCTCATTCTGCTGCTGCTCTTCCTCCTCCTCTTCCTCCATCCTCTCTCCCTCCTCCTCATTTTCTTCTTCTTCTTCTTCTTCCCGATTCTTGTCAGGGTCTTTGGCATCTTCCTTCTTCTCTCTGTCTTTTTTCTTACTCTCCGACACTCCCCTTTTGTCCTTCTGCTCGTTCCTGTAAGCTAGAAGACCAACAAACACAGCATTAAACAAAACCGGCAAAGCGGAAGGCTGACGAGGCGCTGTGCCCGCTGTTCGGCACGCGACCGAGTCAGCGTGATGCAGAGAAGAGCTTTAAGGGACGGGGCAAAAATATTGCGCCTTGTTGCAGCTTCTGTGGAAGGGTGGCTCTGCGGAGCTCACCGATATCCGTGAAGAACTACGAACGGGTATCCCTTGTGGGGGAAGTCCGTCTAAAGAGCAAGCCATTCAGTGCTGAAATCTTTATTTCTAACCCATTTCACAACCATCTTTTTATGAAGGGAAAATAGCCTATCTCAAAACAGTATTCCGGCAATAACGCAGCAAACTTTCTAACAGGGTAATTGGGGGCTGGAAAAGTTTCCTCTGGTTCTTTGCTTCTGATGCCAAGTCATATTTGGCATATTGGTATCTTTCCTGATTTTGTTTGGGTTGAAATAATTTTTAAACAAAAAATGCCAAGTGTGTTTAGAACTTTGCACTGGCCTTTGGCAAACGAGTAGCTTAAAAGAAGCAAATGAAGGCAAGGAGAAGAGTCAGAAGGAGTGCAGAAGGCAACCAAGGTGCACTTACCTTCTAAGGACTCCTTTAGAGGTCCTACGAACCGCTGGAATTCCATCTCTTCCATGGCAGAAATAACATCTCCAGCATTCAGTGTCTTTCTCTTCCCCTTCCTTGCAAAGTTGTTGGCGCTAATTTTAAAAAGATAAAAGCAAATAAACGCGTGTCCCCCGTCATACCTAAAAGTTTTCCACTTCCGTTTTGGTAAACTAGACCAGGGGTCGCCAACCTTTTGGGCCTCAGGGGCCACCAAACTCATAATTTTAAATCCCGCAGAGACCCTGGGAAAATCCCCCCAAAAGTCTGCAGGAAAATCCCCCACCCCTGTTATCCTACCGATTGATCGTTCTTTATTTGGGATCGCAGGATACCATCAGCTCAGGGGGGGGGAGAGAGAGAGAGAGAGAGAGAGAGAGAGAGAGAGACTTTTGGCTTCATGCAAGGAAAGCAGCAGAAGCAGCAGAAGTCTTCCTTTCTCTCCCCCAAACTCCACCAGAAATGAGTCTTTGCAGCCTCTTGGAGCAGGAGGCCTTGCAGGGTGCCAAAGACTAATTTCTGGTGGAGTTTGGGGGGAGAGAAAGAAATACTTTTGCTGCTTTCTTTGCATGCAGCCAAAAGCAGAAGAAGAAAGAAGCGGAAAGAAGCAGCCCGGTGCCCAGGCCAGGCCCGTGGGGTGAGTGGGGCAAGTTCCCCCTCTGCCCATTCCCCCCTTCCCTCAGTACCCCATGTTGTTTGCAATGCAAGCGATGCAAGCCTTGTGTTCTTGCGCAGCCTGGATTAATTGCTTTGGGGTGTGTGTGTGTGACATTTCTCTGCAGACCAGCAAAATTTTCTCGCGGACCACCAGTGGTCCCCGGCCCACCGGCTGGCGACCGTTGAACTAGACGAAGGGAAATCAAACAAGCCGAGCTTGGCAGTCGGCAGGCTTTCAGCCCCAGCGGTAACTATCCATTTCCATGATAGTCTCTGCACAGGATTAATAATGATTTGTTAATGGAGAAAAACACGGTCGTCTTAAAAAGTGCTTTAAAAAATAAAAACCCTGTTGAAAACCAGCCCGTTCCTCTCTTTAGGCGCGGCGGGGGCTTCTCCTCCGGGAGGGAAGGAGGGTAGCGGCAGCCCCGAAGGGAAGCCAGGGCGGCCGGCCAGCTAACTCACCACGAGGTGGCATAGAGCACGAAGACGCTGGCCGCTCGCGAGATGGCACTCCGCGCTTCTTTCGAGACGTTCACGCCGTCCGGGAGCTGCGGGGAGGGAAGCGGGTCGGCTGAAAGGCTCCGCGACCGTCTCCGGCACCGCCAGAACCGGATCCCGCCCAACCCACCCTCCCGCCCCGGTCCCGCCGGCTCACCGCCTCCTTGATGATCCGCGTGATGACCGCGTTGGGCAGGTTCAGGTCCTCCGGCCGCTCAGCCATCCTGCCGGCCTGTGGAAGGAGGGAGGGAAGGCGGTGAAAGGGGCAAGGGAAGGGGCTGGACTAGATGACCTTTAAGGCCCCTTCCCGCTCGGATTCTCTGCTAAGCCCGCTTCACCCCCGCAGCGCCGCCGGCCTGGCTGCACCCGCCCTGCACCCCCCACCCCACCCCCAAACCCCACCCGGGACGAGATCGCGGGTCCCGCCTGAGCCCGAAGGCCGACCCCGCATCGCCCCGCCCCCTCCACGGCCCGGCCCCGCCCCCGCCCGCCGCTCGCCGCTCACCGCCGGGGAGCTCGAAAGACGCGCGGAGCCAAACCAGTGGCCGGCGCCCTCTCGCCCAGCATGCACTGCGCCCGGGGGCCGACACGCCCCTTCCGGAGGGAGGGAGGAGCCATTTGCGGGGCTGCCCTGGTTGGCGCCGCCCCCTCTGCAGCAGGAAAGGAACCGGATGAGCGAGGCGCCATTTGCGGGGCCCATCGAAGCATTTGCCGTCGCTCTCTCTCTTTCCCCGCCCACATCCGGTGCTTGCCTTCCGGCGCAGTGCCGGAAATGAGAGCCAGCTTGTCGTTGCCTAGCGACGGCGCCTATTTTTGTTTATTTTTATTTTTAACCTCGGGCAGGTGGGATGGCGAAGCGCCGCTTCTCCTCTCCCGGCCGGCGGGCGTCGGGGAAAGGGGCCCCTCTCCTGCCCGAGGCGGGCTTTTGGGCGGAGGACGGGCCGGGCCCTGGCCGAGACCTCACGCCGGGGGCCGCTTTGATGGGTTCGGAGTGGGGGGGTCGGACGCGGCCTGGTTCGGGAGAAGCCACGGAGCGGGCGGGGCTCCGTTTCCCCCAGGCCTCCCACTCCTTCTTTTAACCCGAGACGGTCCCTGCGGGTTTCTTGGCCAAGTTTTGTTCCCGAGGCGAAAGAATAAGTCAGTCCTCCCGGTTTGTAGTCTGAAGCTTCCCCCAGGACTGGTCCTCCACTGGGACCATGGCCATAAGAATAATAATTGTGATCATTATCCTTTATGAAGGATGCTTCTTCCAAGAAGCTAAAGTGGAGGGGTTTTTACACCCGCAGCAGACGGATGCTTGGACAACAGGTGCAATAGTTTCGGTCATGCTGCCCTTCCCATCACAGTGGAAAAAGACACCCACTGCAAGGGTCATCCAAGAGGTCCCATCATAATAACCCCCCCTTTTTTGCTGTCTTGCAGAAAGTGATGCCCGCTGAGCATCCCCAAAGCACAAATGAACTTTGTTGAGGGGTCTGCATCAACACTGGATTATATTCGGATGTCGTGCCCTTGTTGGAGTCTGATTCTGAGGGGGAGGTTGAGCAGCTGATAGGGAGTGGGAGTGTGGCTCCCTTGGCTGTGGATGATACAGGGGAAGGGCACAGTCTGGCTGGGCATTCAGAGGAAGACCCAGGGCCACCCCCTCTTCATCCTAGGGCACGCAAGGAGGAACAGAGAAGGGAGCAACATGGCTTACGGGAGAGAAAAGGGCCCTGATCCTTTCATTGGTTGCAGCTAGGAGAACAGAATATAAGAAGGGTGTTTGCACACAGCTCCTTGCTGGAAGCAAAGCGTGGATTATCTTGGTTGAGCCTTATCTGGGTTTTGGCGTCCTCCCAACTGTGGGTGCTGCGTTATCCTTTGAAAGTCTGCCATTTATCATCCTGGCCTGCCGTGTTAATTACTTCAGTGTGGTTTGTGTTGGTTTTTTTTTTAAATTTCTAATTACTTTGGATTCGGACTGCATTTCTGCCCTTCCTAGATTGTTCTTTGAAGAGTTTGTCATCCAGCCGAGGATAATTGGACATTGGAGGCCAAGTTGGAGGCATTAAAGGGAATTTATTCTACTTTTGCGTCTTTGTTATTTTTGTGTCATGCCCGGGGTTATCGCATTGGAAGGGAAGAGCAACTGTGTTTTCGGAAGGATGGGGGGGCTTTCTGAACACCAAACTTGTAAATCTGCCACTTTGGAGCAGCTGTTTCACTTTGTTTTGTTCTTCCTTGCATCCTGTTGCAGAAAGTTGCTGACAGCAATGGGGATAATCAACATCGGAGGTCAATGGGATGAAACCGTTTGCAATATGATCGCTTGTCAGCATCCCCCCTGCTGGGAGTCTATGCGGAGAATCGAAAGTGGGCATCCTCACATTTTGCTGAAGAACGTAGCCATACCTGGAAGAGATTTCCCAGCATCGGAAGGTAAGAAGTGCTCTGTAGAAATTAGATGCCAGGCCACTAAAGCCGACTAATAGGCAGTTGTTTCCGTTCCTGACCATGGAATAAGAAAGAGCTATATAAAAGAGGGGCTGAATTAAGCCAAAATGTACCTGTGGGTGATGTGGCTGGTATTTTTTTCACAGCTCTGGCATTTCGCTTTAGGCAAATTTGTTTCACTTGAGGTTTTGGGGAAAATAATCCTAACATAAAGCAAAAGTATGTTGCAATACATGCTTCGTCATGTGGTCAGTCCCTAGGAATTTGCTGATAAGCTGTGGGGCCATTGTTATTCTCCTACATCCATCTCTGGCCATAGTAGCAAACTAGGTTTCATAGCCGGTGCTAACTCAAAATCATTCCAAAAAGGCTTAATTTAAGCAAGCGGGTTGTTAAGAGATATTAGTGTTCATTTGGGCAGTGGTCAATCTGTATTTCAAACATTTTGGGAAGTTTTTTACAAGATACTCAGAAGAGAAAATGTGTTCCTAACATCATGTTTTGATATAGTCATATTAAATAATATACTTTAAGATATGTGAATGGAAAAGATTAAGAACGAAATGGAAATCTGTTTCTTCTTTAATGTTATATCAATAAGCAAATACGGTCAACGCCACATTTGCTTATTGATATAACATTAAAGAGGAAACAGATTCATTGTTCTTCTGCTAACAATAGATCTGCCAATGTGCATGAAAGAAAGAAAAAACCCACTCTTTTTTTTAAATACAGATTTGCTTTCTCCTTATTTCAGACAAACTGCCAACCCTGAAGATTGTTGACCTTCCCCTCCTCTATCCTCGGAGAGAACGAGTTAAATGTGTGGGAGGTTTTGATTCCGGCTCTAAGAAAATTTCCAGTAGCAAAGAAGCTAGAAATTGCGTTTCAAATTCTATTCTGAATGATGGCTGGATACCCGCCATTTCGGTACTGAGGTCAGCAAATTTGGATTTCCTCTACCTGTGTTTCTGGGATGACAGGCATAGTGCAGCGCTCTATAAGGAAATTTCCTCCTACTCCCCAGCCCCCCCAAAGGCCTATGCAGATTTTCTTTCACGTCTGGTCAATGGAAACAGGACAGGCTGTTTCTGCATATATCTGCAATCATGCAGAAGTAAGGCAGAATTCTTGGGCAGGGTTTGTGCCCTCTGCGTGGTCTCCATTGTGCGTCTCCCTCTGTGTGCATTTCAGTTCAGAAAAGAATCCTTTCCCAGGTCTGAACTCCAGAATGAAATCTCAGTCTCTCCGTTTCCCACCAATAAATTTCACCTGCTCGAGGCAACCTGAGAAAGTGAGTGAATTCAGTGGATTGTTGTGTACAAGTGCTTTCTTTGGCCTTGAAGGAGGCTTCACCCAGACCGTATTCGACACCCAACCTGCTTCAAGTTTCTTGCATTCGGTGTTCAGGAATGTGGCTAAATGCATCTTGCAATGATGTTGGAAGAAACTCTGCCCGTTGCGGCCCCCCCTTGAGTCCTTTGAGGTGAGGGTTGATAGCAATAGGACCATCCCATAGTGCCTTACAGCACCCTTTGGGCAGTTTACAATGTCAGCCTATTTCCCTCAAGCATCTGGGTCCTCATTTTACTGGTCTCAGAAGGATGGAAGGCTGATTCAACTTGAGCCCCGTCAGGATCAAACTCCAGGCTGGGTGCAGAGTTTGCCTGCAGTACTGCATTCTGATGCACATTTTGCCCTTCTGCAACGGTGCAGGATTAATAACCTAATAACAACTGAAACTGCCACAGCTGTCATTTTAGGTTGGCACAGCCAGGTGATGATGTCTGCGACTCCATCGCTTAGAGGTGGAGTTTGCCAGTCCCAGGTACTATGATTGAGCAAGGACTATTTGTAGCAAAGAAACATTTTTCTTGTGAATTTATAGCTGTGGGTAAGGAAGAGCTTATTGTCTCAGAAATCTTCCCAATCATTAATGAAACCAAGTAGACGAGGAGTAAAACCTCATTTTCACTGTAGATGAACAGTCTCTTGGGGCGCTGAACTAGCCAGTTAGCAACCAAGGCAGAACATCCTGGATGCCTTTTCTGGAACTGCAGCAGAGCTTGGAACTGTTAACCCTTGAACAATCCAGCGTTTGTCCCTCTTGTGATCTCCAGCTCTTCTTTTGCCAAATAGTAAGGAGTCGTTCCTTTCGCATGGACACGTTAGGTGCAGGTGACAGAGCCCTCCGAGTTTGTGGTGCAGAGACTGGGTCCCCAGCCCCCCTGTGGAAGCACGGTTTTCCGGTGGGTTCCAGACAAGCGACCCAGATTCCTGAAGTCTCAGAATCCTAACGGGGGAGTGTAAGTGATGCCATGAATATAATTTGGTATAGTCTTGCATTTGTGCGGGGGGTGGATGTGAACAAGGCTCTGCTCTGCAGGATCGCCCTCTGCTTGCTGGCCTTGGCCGCTGCATATCTGATTCCTTCTGTTGTTCTCACCTTGCAAAACCTTTTGTATTTGGGGAGACCCGGGGAAAGAGAGGTGCTTGCTAGTGAAGAGCCCAACCTTCACAAGGGAGCTTTAATTAAGGCAGCCTGGTGGCTCCTTTCCTCCTTAGAGAGGAGAAATGGGAGGCAGAGAGGTTTTTTTTTATTCAGTATTGCAATGCTTCTGTTTTAAACTGCTGTTGAATCACTGTATAAGAAATCAAGTGGGCCCTTTTTTCTCCCCCCCCCCCTCCTTTAGAAAGATGCCCCCACAAAATATATGTGTGAAGGAACTTCCTTTGGAAAATCTCCTCTCTCTCAAGGATCATCAAGGGGCTGTGAGTTGTGCCTTGGTATGTGCGTGTGTGTGTGTGTGTGTGTGTGTGTGCTTTTTGTTTGTTCGATTGACAGGTCCTCCCCCGTTTTTCATCCCTTAGCTTGAAGGAGGGGAATCTAGCAGGTGAGGGCTTTCCTGGTCTGGCCTGAAGCTTGGGAGCCTTTCGGGACTGCTGGTAAAGGCAGAGATTGGGCGTTCCTGAGATATAGGGGAGAGGTCCTCCTTCCAGAAGCGCCTTGGCCAAGGAGATTCGAAAACACCGGGGAGAATGGCCGAGCTGAAAGAGAATAGTCAGCCTGCCTTTCAAGGGTGCCTCTTCTGTGGTGTTTTCCTCCGTCGATTCCTTGATCCTAGGAGCTTCTTGACTTGGGGGGCGATGGATTGGGGGAGGCACCTGCAGAGCTTTGGATGGGATTCTAGTGTGCTTGGGATGTTGTTGTTTTTTGCTTTCTTATTTGAACGATCTCTTTCTGCAGAAAAGAAAAAAGTCAAATAAAGTTCCTACAGGAGGTCAACCCTACTTTCGTTATCCAAAGCTGAATCAAAAAGCTAACAATAAGCCAAGGTCAGTTCTAAAAAGCTGGGTGGCTTTGGAACAGCCACTCTCTCTTAGATGCTGTTATAGGAAACACGACTACATCTCATTTTTGAACAGCAAATTAAATTATCACATGAAATTGTGGAACAGTCTTTCCGTTATGGGTTTTTTTTTGGTAAAAAAAATTATTTCAGTTTTCCACATTTTAAAAACATCTTTTTTTAGTGAACAGCAGGATTCCAGGTTTTCACATTTCCATACAAACATGATTTTGATTACAAATTCATCTTTCACATTTAGTTTCATATCTTATCATTACTTTACATGTTTTCTATTCATTTTCTCAAGTACTTTCCTCAAGCTTATTTTATAAATTTTCAACTCATTTCTAAACCTATTTCTTTTAACTTTAAATAATTCTCATATCTTCATCTTCATTGCGCTTTATACTTTTATCTGTCAGGTTGGCAATTTCATCGCATGTTCTTATTTAACAGTCTTTCCGTTATATTGATAACCAGTTTAAAAGAAAAAAAAATGTATTACTTGAATCAAAATAGTATTAAAAGTAAGAGTCATACACATCTGAATACGAAAAAGCATATATGAACAGGATAAAAAAAACTGAGTGTAAAAATGAAAAAGAGAGGAAGGTTTCCCCTTTTGAAGGTTTAAACTAAACCTTTTAAAACGCTACTTTTGACGGGACACCCAAGCGCTAATCCTCTTATCCAACAAGAATCCTAGTCGGGTTGTAAGGCGGCATCTCTTGCAGAAGGTGGACTCTGTCCTCTCCACCTGGCTCCAAATGCCGAGAAAAAGACAGGTGCATCTTTGGTCCATAGAGGAAAAAAAGGCCTCACCTCTGTGCTCCTGTTAACAGGGTCTTTCTGGGGACATTTGGGAAGGAGGAGAGCTGAGATTGTCCCCTGCTGTAGTTCTGTAGGCGAACCAAGGAGCACAGATGACGGCCTCCTCAGAGCAAGGCAACAGCCGGTGGACCCTCTGCCTCTGTGGCTACAAAATGAAGGTGTGACTCAGGGGAGCAAGAGAGGAAAGGCGCTGCAGGAGACCAAGGAGAAATTAGCAGCCTCCTTTATTGTGCAGAAGGCACCCCGTTTTGACCGATCCGAAGCGAAGGTAAGCAAGACCCGAGCAGCGCAGTGGCAATCGTCTGTTTTCACGGCCTGGCCTGAATCTGGTTTTTTTAATGGCTCACATATTATGGTATATCGTATCCTCAGCAAGGGGCTGCAACCACCCTGGCCCAGAGCCTGGGAGAAGAGTCAGGTCTTTGTGGGGCCTCTTGCTGGGTGGGATCAGCGACTGGCTTTGCTCTCTGGTTCGCTTGCTTGTGTCTCTGCCTTGATCGTCTTAGTTGCTTTGTTTGGGGGCTGCGAATGGCTCAGAGTCAATTGGAGTCCGGTGAAATACCGGAGAGGCAGAATTAAGGAGGCAAGAGGCAAACCTCCTGGGATTTTTTTCCTGCTGGTCTTCGCTGCAGTCTCTCCCTCCTTCCTTCCTTTTCCACCCCCTCTTTTCTTCAGATCCCCATGAAAGACAAAGATTTGGGAAGAAGCCTAGGCCGCCAGCCCAAGATCGTCTCAGCAGGTTTGCCTCTTTCCGTTGTAGCGTTAGGGCTACCTGAATGTAATTGGAAGGCTTCCCAGCCAGGACTGACTGACTTCTGACTGGCCACAGGCTCACTGATCCTGAGACACCTGAGGGCAGAGCAGCTGGGGGACGCTGGTAACCATCAAGGCAAGAAAGGAGGGGGCCTCCTTGAGCACAGCCAGATGTCCCCAGAATCTGTAAGTGCTGCTGACCCTCCAGGGCAGAGTCACTAATTCCCCCACCCCACACACCTCCCCACACCCCCAATGTGGCTCCTGCACTCTTGACTGAGTGGGAGAAGGAAGACCCAGGCAGAGGCTGAGCAAAGGGAGACGGTGTAGCATGGCTCTGGGACTTTTGGAGGTGCTGGGAGCAGCAAGGGTCGGTTGCCCGAAGCCCCGTGAATAGGTGACCTGGTCTGCCATGGAGACGAGTGGTGGTCTCTGCCCCAGTGGAGGCTTATTGTGCCAGGATTGATCCCTACAGTGGCAGGTATGAAAGTGCTGCAGTGAAGGGAAGCAGGCTGAGGGTGGAGGGCAGTCTGGAAGGAATTCTGTCAGCATGGGGCATCTTCCCTCTGGGGTCCTGGCCCAGGGGGACTTAGGGGGTCCTGCCTGGCCGGAGAAAAGTGGGCAGCTCTTTCTCCCTCTCCTCTCCACATGAAAAGAGGCAGGAAACTCAGGTGGTTTAACTACTGAGCTGTCTCTCTCTTGATTATTTTCTGTTGTTTTGGGTGCTCCCTCTCCCCCCCCCCCCCCCCCCCAAAAAAAGAAACAATTTTGGGGAAACAGCCTGCCTAGTTTTTGTGGGTATTTTTCCCCCCAGGCTGCAGGGAATTGCAAGCTGCACGCGTCCCCAGCCATGTTTGCTAAGAGAAAACCTTGCGTGAAATTTATGGAATATAAGACCAATGTGGCACGGCTGGGCATGGAGGGTGAGTGCAGTGGACTTTTATCCTAGCGGTCTGCCTTAGGGCTGTAGTTGAAGCCTACGGAGCTGAGGCCATTATCTTTCCGCCAGCTGGCCCCTGCTCACCCCCCAGCAGAAGCCCCAATGTTGCCCACCTGCCCCTCCAGCAAGCTCTGCATGCTGGTGTGTGTTATATGTTCTCCTTGACGTGGAAGGAAGTAAAGCACCCTGGAGGTTAGAGGGCTGCGGTGCTGGCCTTGAGAGTAGCCAGAAGGGGATGGTGGAATGATTGCAGGACGTCATGTTCCCTTCAGTTCAGGAGGAGAAGGGGAGGCCGCAGGAGGAGGAAAGGCCTCTTCCTTGAGCTCCACCATACTCTTCTCTCTTTCCTGGGGAACAGCAGTGGAGCCAACTTAACAAAAATTTCTCCGTTTGGCGCATGAAGACTGCCAGGAGAAAAGGCCGTTGCTGGGAAGGGCCTTCAACGGGGTGTTTTCCATTTGGCTTGGTGGAAAAGGTAGACCTGGGAGCCGGCACGGAGACTGTTTCGTGTACTAAGTAACCGCAGTAAACGTGGCCTGATAGCTCCTCAGTGGACAAAAGACAGGCCCCCAATCGTGGTCAGGTGCAAGAGAGAGGGAGCCATTGACCCCAGGGGGGTGTAAAAGGCAGCAAGCAGGCCGTGCAGCCTTCTCTGTCCCTGTGTCGATTCGCCTCGCTGGCTGTGAGATGCGCAGGGACCCGTCCTGGTTTGAAGCCTGGCTGCCTTGTCAAGGACTAGCTGCCCTTCTCCACCGTTTCGAGTTGCTGGGCTTCACACCCAGCAGCTTTGCAGTAAGTTCTGCCCTGCAGGTGCTTGTTATTCAGGGAGAGGCCTCCTTGACCATAGACTCTCAGTGGTCACTTGGCTAGTTTGGCTCCTTTATTGCAGACAAGAAGGAAGTCCTCCACAGCCCGTAGGGCAGAGAAGCAGAGCTTTTATCCAGGTGTTTTCCTCTCGCCTATCTGAATAAAGGCGGCATTTCCTCAGGTGGCCTAAGTCACGGGGAGCCTTCGGTAAAACGTCTCTGTCCTTAACGTTTGCCCTGTTTTGGCTTGATTTTTTTTACCCAGGCTGCGATCCCTTTGCTTCCTGCCTACCGAAAGCCGAGTTCAGGTACAGACCGTATTACGATCACCCGGCAAGCTGGAAGGAGGCTGCCCCGGCTGAGCGGGATGCTTCAGACTTCAGCAGGGAGGCTTGGCCCGCAGAAGACTCTCGGGAAGCACCCAAGACTTTCGCTCCGCTGCAGCCCCCGGGGCCACCTCCCCCCTCCCCCTCCCCCTTGGAGAACAGCCCTAATTCCCCCCCTGGCTTCCCTTGAATCCAAAAGGAGCAGGGAGGCCAGAGGTGGATAATCAGCAGCCAACTCCAGGGAGGGTTGCTTCTATTTTAAAAGGGGTGGGGGCCCACTCTCGAACTTGCAACCATTAAAATTCCTGCTTTCCCCACTTTGTGCCTCTCTGAGCTTCGTCTCTCCCCAAAAACAGCTTTTTTGGTAACAAATAACCCAACGTTGGGGCACTGGACGGCCAGAAAGACGGCGTGAGCCGGGTCAGGGGGCATATGCAGAGCTTAGGTTAAGGCATACTTGAAGCCAACTCAAAGGGCGGTGGGGGGGATGACCAAAGGGCCAGTCCTGTGACTACGGCAGCTCTGGAATATGGGACCGGCACTCCCACCAACGTCAGCCAGCCACCCCGGGGTGTATTGGCTCCCGAGGCAGCATTTGTGGCCCCGCCAGAGAGAGCTGTACAGAAGAAGCTGAGAGGGTGACAGCCCAGAATTGTCTGCCCAGGATAAGTAATTAAGTACAGCAGAGTGGGGTTTTCTGTTGCTACCATGGCTCTTCGGAGCAAACTTTTGTGTTGCTTGTGGAGGTCTCTTGGCAACCCCTTGACTTTGAAGAAAAAGAGAGAGTGGCTCCACCCCGCTGGGGTTAATCTTCCTTGCGTTCTCCCCTCTGCCCCAGCTTCCATTCATAGCAGCGCTTCCAGGCTTCCACCAGCAGCTTCCTCCAGGCCTTTCTCAAGGTGGGTGCTTGAGAAATGTTTACTTTGTTCTGGGGAGAATGACCAGTCAGCGCTGAAAGCAACAAGATGCCTACTTAAAAAAAAAAAAAAAACCGGGGACAAGAACAGTTGTAAAGATCCAAATTGTTGGCAGTGGAAGATTTGGCCAACTTTCGAAGGACACCCTGGTTGGAAGCGGGCCCTGAGAAGAACAAAGCCCGAAGTCAGCCGCCTCGGGGGCTCTTAAGAGGTTGTAAGAGGGGCAGATTCTGCTCCAGCGGAAATAGGGCTGGGAAAACAATGCCTCGCTGCGGAGGATAAGTTATTCTTTAAATCTCTGGCAAGATAAGCCTCGTGGCAACTGATTAACTTCAGTAGAGCCAGAGGAAGGTTTGGTTCTGTGTCCTTTTGAACTCTTCCTAACGGAGCAGCCTCACTTCGGTTGTGGTTTTTGTGGGGTAGGGTTGGAAGGGGCTTCCCTCTCACTTTATTTAGCTGACATTTTGGTTTATGTAGCCACCTGTCTCAGCCCATGACTCTGAGCAGCGAAGAGCAATTCAAGACAACATGAAAATGCGTTTTTTAAAATTGTAGTTATTCCTCCGAATCGGTTGCCCGCAGTTCATCTTTTGCCCTGCCTGTGCGAGGAATTGCTTACACCCTCGTCTCTGAAGCGCAGGATTAGGCCAGCCTGAATATTTCGGTCTGAACCAAACTTCCAACCTGCTTCAACGTTTTTGCCTCTTTGTTAGAAAGGCTGCCAGTTCAAAAGGGGCTGGAGTGACATTTCTTCTTTGGGCCCAACCCCGGTCCGAGGTAGAGTCAGGGCTTGGTAGGCATCCATCTACGTCCAGCCAGCAGATTTCTCGGGATTTCCTTTGGTTGCAGGAATGGAATTCGGGGTCCGTGTCAAAGGCTGCACAGCTGAGCAATTTCCAGGTGGAAACCTATCCCGAGGACAGACTTCTCCAAGACAGCTGCCTGCATTCCACCTAAAGCGACGCAGGAAGATCAGCCAGACTTGTGTTAAAGAGCGGGGTAAGTGCCGAGAATGAAGGCAAGGAAGTGGCCGGTGGGATGTTACATCAATTATTCTCTCTTGGTCAAAGACAGGGAGGTAAGGTAGTGGAGTTTCCAGGTATGAAGTAAAATAGCATTTTCATTTCCACAGTTTTCCTTCCTTCCTTCCTTTCCTTTCCTTTCCTTTCCTTTCCTTTCCTTTCCTTTCCTTTCCTTTCCTTTCCTTTCCTT